AAATTCCAAATCTCGCTCCGTCGATGTGTGCTGCGACTCCGAAAAGCGCATATAGTCTCCGAGTACAGTGAACAATTTGACTTCAACTTGTCCAGATAGAAAACGAATTTGATTTACGCTTCGTGTATCTGGAAGCCGTGATTCTGCTTCCCGTAGCCTCGCATACGTTGGTATAGCACTAATTCCTAGGATGAAACTAACTCTCTTAGACTGAGTCAGGTAGACAGTCGCTTATGAACAGTCCAACTAACCGGGACAGCAAGGACTTGTAAAGATAGAGAAACTCCCCACTGCCTCTTTGTTGACTCTGCTAACTCTACCACTGACTGCATGTTGGACGGGAGATAAGATGAGTTTCACAGAAACCTCTCCAATCTTCCTCAAAGAGTTGAGCGCCCTGCTATAGTAATAATGCCTCGTGACCTCAATACCCAGGTAGTTAGACTGAGTGTTAAGGAAAGACACCTGGGTGGATCTTATGTTGTCATGGTTGATTGAACCGATAATGGTGACCGTTTGTTGCAGTTATGCTCAGAGTACTGACTATTTCTAGCAAAAACTAACCTTAAGCACAAGAATGAACATCTTTTGGAATGACGACACCCAAAGTCGTCCCAGTGTTGGACCCAACTAGATCACATCTCTATCAGCCACTGTGGTGTGAGCTACTTATAAGTAGTATATGACGTGAGTGTCAACGTAATGTCTGGCAGCAGAAGATGGGTGAAGATCAAGAAAGGAAGATTTAGAAAACAATGGAATTTGTATGAAACGCATGAATAGTGACAATGGATTGATGTTTTGCAACAGGAAGAGTCCAGTTGGATATGATGGACTGATATTTTGCAAATCAACGACTTACGATATGGTGTTCCGATTTTATTGAGTAACTCCGTAATTTTCGTTAAATACAATTCGGTTGCCCCACCTGTGTTCTCCTTCACTACATTTGGTATCGCTGCCTGCCCGAATGAGGGAGCTCCCGTGGCCGAAGGAGTTGGAGAACGGAGATCTGCGGAGCTTCCTGCAACATTAGATGCAGCTTGAAATGGTATCAGAAAGGCAATGGAAACAGCAGTGATATCCGCTAGAAAGGTAAACCATAAGGTTAGGGAGAAGCCGTGGATTTCAGCAGCATCTACCGAATTGATAGATGGTCGGAACGTCATCCCATCTGACGCTGAACATGACGAAGATTGAAGTAAGTTTAGGCACAGGTTGAGAAAAAGCCTGGGCGACGGCCGAAACTAATGGTGCGTAGTGAAAGCAAAAGCGATAGAAAAGGCAACAGCGATTGACAACAGTAGGCAACTATTCAGACTCACCAAGGAAACCTGTATTAGGAATCGGAATATGAGTGAAACTATCTCGGAAAAGGATGGTATTATTATTTATTCTCATTCGAAGAGATTAGATCGATGGGCAGAATACTTTAGGGATCAGTTCCATTGGCCTTCAGCGACACTTCGGCTGCTCACCATCTCCAGTCAACCTGATTGACAGATAGACGTAAGCCCTCCGAATCTTTGGGAAGTTGAGAAGGAGACAGAAAGTCTAAACCTCAGGAAAGCCGCTGGCCCTGACAGATAGACCCCTGCGATTTTCAAGGATGATGATCCAGTCTGAGATCTTGGCTGGAATTTAGGAATCGGACGTAATCGCATCCAACTGGTCTCACTCCTTGATTGTCCCAATTTTATTAGATAGGACAAAAGTCCTCTTGTGACACTCACAGGGGAATAAGTCTAACGAATATGGTGTCTAAATTGTCAGACTCAATTACACTTAGATGCCTAACTAGAGCTCGTGAAGAGCAGTCTAGAGAAAACCAGGCTGGTTTCAGGCCTGGACGTGGCTGTATAGACCACATCTTCACACTACGACAGGTCCTGGGACACAGACACACATTTAGTCGTCCGATAATAGTTGTCTTTCTGGACCTTAAGGCGGGTTCTGCGGCAGTCTGTCAATGAAAGATATAACAAAGAAGTACATCAACCTTATACAATGGTTGCTACAGGATTGACTTGCATCAACACCGGACCTAGTGACAGTGAGTGTTGCGGCTGAGTGTACTAACCGCTTTATTTGTCTCTAGAGTGTCATCACTAATAACAGTTGACCAGCGAGTAAGTAATGCTGTTGTTAGGAAATCGGTACCAGGTAAGGATATCAAACCAGTTGATTGAGTAGTGAATCTGAATCAGTTGAGGTTGTTGGGACATGTGTAATGAATTTCCAACAACTGCCCCCGATCAGCATCTTCATCTTCAGTTACTTTACCACAGGTTTCTGAGTAGCGGCTCAAACTGCAGTTTTTTTGATGATATGGCAGTACAAATCTAGCCCGTAAACGTAAACAGATCAATTTGTTCACCTGAAAGTTTCTCCGGCATCCTCCTGTACACATTATTCCTTTCTGTTCAAAATAGATAAAAGTTTTTCAGATAAATTATAGAGGCGGTAACTGAGTGCGTGATGGGTTTAGTAGACAAATCCTAAAATACATAATTTCGAGAATAATCAGTAACCTAAAAATTTACGGACTTGGTAAGCACGATAGATTGCTCCAACAAATATGAATAATCAGAACATCAGAACACTCTGTGAGGAAACACTCGAATCGCCGCACACCAAAAACCGAAAAGTCAGACTAGGTCTAGGTCTCGTTTACTAAAAACTATTGTGGAATGGTCTACAAGCTCAAGTGCATACTCCCAATCCATGGATAGCCTTAAGAGGACATTTGATAAACACATACATATGGAATACTATTATGTATTTGTCTGGCTGTACTTCATCCATGTCTCGTTACTTATCTGCCCACCACTTTTCATAAACGTTTTATTATTGCTTCCACTATTTTTAATTCCTGGTTATTCTTTGCCCTGACACTTCTGTCTATTCATATTTATTGTATCAATAATTATTCGACTAATTTGTTTCTACCAAACTTAATTTTCGATTTATTTTTCACACTATCCACCTCTTGACTGATATGAGCTAGTTACAGGAACGACTCTGTCCTGAGACATTCAACCAGATTACAAGATATAAAACCAATAAATGACTACTAAGCTGATCACAATAGGTCTTGCGAAGACATGCTTGACTACTTGAGGTTACCCGCTATGAGGTATATTAAGATAAAGAAGTGAATTGATAAGAGTAAACAAAATATGAGTACTGCAATCAAACTCTAATAAAAGCACCATTCCAATGCATCAGTGTCAAGTCATTAGAGGTGCCCATTGAAAAATTTCACCTCAGAGAGCGTGGAGGAAAATGTGCGGTACATTTTATAAACCTAGCAACATTACGATGACCATAGAGAACAAACATAGTACATGCTATAAAGCTTGGGAGTTATGTGAGCGATTATCTGTGTAACTTATCAAAATATACCAAGAAATCATCTTGGTAACTGGAACGAATCTGAGAGATGTGGATAATAGCAAATATCATTTACGAACCAAGTTTTATTTCTCATCTTTTCTGTTCAGCAAAGTAAAGCATTTTAAGCTGGTAGTTTCCAGTTGTTGTGAAATCAAAACATGCTCTTGAACTTCGGGTGATGACTTCGGCGGTTGACGAAGTGTTGGAAGATGTCGAACTTTTAAATAAATGCAACCATCACCGAATAATGCAGACCATCAATACACAACACTCGAAATTACCATATATATCTTTGTTGATTTCTAATGAAACTTTTTTCACAGCTATGCGATGAACATACACTCAACTTGTCACCACATTCACATTTTCCGTCGCGAAGTGAATAAAGATTGTGTTAAAACTTGGTACGAGCTCGCGAAGCCATAAGAAACAGTAACTATCTTAATGACCTGTCAGCGTGAGCGACTGTGAATTTAAGTTGTCGATTTGTGTCCCAAGTTTTTATTAGACTACGGTAAGACTCAGCTTTTCCAGATGTACGACATATGGAGGTTCGGGGGCTGAAGTCGTTCAAACTACTTTCGGTCTCTCCTGAGAGGGGAAATCGATACCGCAAAAACTATCCCACTATTTTACGGTCATATATTCTTCTACTTCTGCCATGTTAGACCAAATAATCCTGGACATTTTCACGAGGATTTCGAGATTAGTGGTCGAATAGTTTAAATATGAACATATATCTGTTTCATAAAGTAGCGAACTATCGGAATTCTCCATCACACAGCATGGAAACCCTGTGCTATGCATAAGGGTAAGGAGTTTATGACGTTATTCCCTGTCCACACTACGGTGTAAATCTGATCACTCTATGACAGTAAAGAGGGAGATATTTTTAAATGTTGTGAAAGAGGATTCTAGTAGCCACCATTCCATTAAACGAACAACATCACTTAGGCACACGCCTATTTTTTCTCCCTAGTAGTTGTCTCAACTTGGAATTTTCTTCCAATTCAAGTAACCACATCCAGCTGATGAACAGACATGATAAACTCGTACGCACATACGTATCATGATCTCCATCTTGTAAGGGCTGCGCCTGATGCATGTCTCGAAGCGTTTTTTGTTGTGATTTCAATTTCTGTAGATCGAAAGCCCATTATATCGCTCTTATTATCTCTTTCCTCTCCCTCATTTACATTTTGTTCATCTAGCACAATCTTCACTACCATTTAACTAACTCAGTTAACCATTTATTTACTCAGTGCTGAGATTCTCTTATAAGCATTAGGATTTTCCCCTTTTTATTCTGCACATTGCAGATAACTGACCTACAGCATGGTAATGCAATATCTGCTGGTATTCAGAAACCCTACTTACCTCAGACATACAAACTCACAACCAACTGCCAACTGACTAGAATTAGGCAGTAGAGTGGCCAGAACACCATTCATTGGACACTACCAAATACCTGGAACTGTACCTAAAGAACAAGGATCGAGCGCGAAGCAATCAACTGGTTTATACTAGCTCGTGAAAAAGATATCGGATAAACTGGATATTGAAACGAATGAACTAAAGTATATCACATGACATACAAATTAATAAACCACTACAAACTGACTAGAATTAGTGTATCCGAATGCTATATCACCGTCCATTGGACAATACTAAGTGTTTGGAACCAAGCGCAAACGATAAGACGCTAAAGCCGAATAACCAATTAATTCATACTTGTCCGCTAAAAAGACATTGGGTATTGAAATTAACGACCTTTTGCTCGTATTGAGTGTTTAAGGTCATTTCTACTGACGTTTGTGTCAGGTTAGTATTTTATTACTAAAACTTGTATTCCTTCTTTTCATGTTTGCATGTAGAATAAAAATAAATTATCGAAATCTTCATTCAGAATAACAATGCATTGTAAGGTGTATTTATTCCAACATAATATATAGATCTTCAGCTAACATAATCTTCCTATGCATTTTTGTTTGCTTTTGATCGTAAAACTATCTCAGATCTTAAGTTTCTAGTTAGTTAGATATGAAATTGTTTACACCAATATCCATCACAAGTAAATTTTCGTTTGTCTCTGAATCTTAGCGGTCGTGTAATTAAGTAATCACTAGTACATGTTCCTCTTAGTGGCTTAGTCCATAGCCTTGTGATGCTTATGCGACTAATCAAAGCTGGTCACCCGGTTTACTTTTTTAGTAATCCAGAATATCTTTTTATCATGGGAAAGCTAAAAATCCACGCACCTAATAATAAAATACGATTGTTACCACGACATTTATTAGTCTGGTGATACCAATTGATTCCTAATCACTGTAATCTTTCACGTGTCCTTTAAGGGATCAAGCTCATATAGTTCAAGCGATTATGATCTGAATATATGCTTTTCTTAGCTGGCTTTCGTTTCTAGTGGCAATAAGTCATGAATATTTTGTGATATAAACGAAATGAAGATATAATTAGCGAATTAACATGAGATGGTACTCTAAGTCCTCAAAATATTTCAAATCTCGTTCCAGTTACTCAGGTCGTTGCCTGAACTGTTTCAGCTGGAAGAAAATTCCAAGATTTGGCTACTCGTAGAGTAAAACGTCTACCTGATGCTCAGTTTACCGTTTTATACAGTTAATAATTTACGACCACTGTCCCTAAAATATATTGAAACTGAACCTAATTAAGTGTTACAGGCAAAGTCTGCGGATTTTTATGAAGCTGTAGGTCATTACGAAGTTCAAATGAAGTTTTATCCCTCCTGTACACTAATGGCACAGGCACTCTTTCAGGACGAATGATTATCCAGTTCTGTCACGTATGCGTTTGCTACGCACCGTGCTAGGTATCCCGTCCAGTGACTGATTACGCATCAGGCCATCTGAGATCAAGGATACGTTCGCCAAGGTTTCTATCAAGTGCGTTACTTGTTTGATTTCTTTCAAAGCTCACTAATCTGATTCCTATCATGACTTTCCTAGCTTCTTTATTCTCACACATTTTCTGCTTTCTCTCCGTGTCTTCTCAGAATAGAGGAAACTGTAAGAAACTCCTAACAAAATAAGAACTACTTTCTACAGATAAAAGTAGTTTTTGACCGAACCTCTTCATCCCCTAAACTTTTCCTTCTATGCAATACATAAAACGCGAGTTATTCCTTAGGAAAAAAATCTCTTCTTACTATCATGATCTATGTTAAAAGTGTCCCCTTTTTATCCCACTCTAGCCTTACCTTTGACTTTAGAATTTAGCTACTCATGCAGTAACTGGTGAATGACAATAATAACAAATTAATTTTATGGCTGAGTTTCAAACTTTTGTCGCCACCCTGGTAATTTATATCTCTGTGCTAATGTGGTATGGTAACTTGAACTGATGTACTTACGTGCGAAGTTCTATGTTGATGATGATGATGATGATCCTGGCAATAACTATCGACAAGGTTCCAGTCCAGAGGTGTTTTTTCCACTTTTAAACTCCACACTGTCTGATTATGATCGAATAAGCCACCACACTTATGTCTTCTTCACAAATTTGAGAAACACTATATTATTCAGTAGACAAGAAATCTAATTATTCGTTAATAAAGTTGGTTGTTCTCTCTAGCAAGTTATATCACTAAAACGTCGAACATGTAGCCTGGGTCATGGTATTCAGAAACCAGTAATCTCTAATATTTATTGCTCGTTAGAGCAAAAGGATGAGATAACAAATCAGAGATTTCTAGCAAAAGTAAAAGGAAACAAACAAGAGAGATGTTTGTTGGTAAACATAAGTAGCTATTTCTTCTGGGAGGAAAACTTCAAGCATACTATGTTCATATCACAGTGTGGATAAAAAAAAGTGGAACAAAAGTTTGAATGTGCAAAGTAGCATCATTAATTATGAATATCTATAAAACTATACTTCAGTTTGTTAGCTATATAACTACTAGAAATTTAAGAACTTACTGCAAAAAGCTCCAATATCCCAGTACGAGTTGATGCATTTAATTTGTAATAATTTAACATAATCACCTGTGTAAAATAACATGCAGCTAAACTTACTTTGAAATCACTGAAATTGAAAATCTTCATAAACTCACCAAAAGCAATACATCTGTATTGAAATTAAATGTAAACAATGGCAGCACGTACCATCAATCCATAAACTGCATAATATTGTTTATACAGTCCTAACAAAAATATAACCTATCTTATTAGCATAGAATAACTTAATGAAAATACATTCTTCGTTGTATGTTTTCATATTCATTTCGAAGTTTAGCATTTGTTTGGTACCGAAAGCTCATTTTAATTATTCATCTAGTACGTCCTTGTTAGTTGTTTGTTGAATGCCTAACACTCTATCCATTGATAGTCTCAAATACCTGTATCTTCATTTATCCAAAATACTTACAATTACTCTCAGTTTAATAAATACATTGTCTTGCAAAATACAAACTGTTAAAATCTCGTACTTAATGAATGTCTTACAGATCATATATTTATGATAATTATTCTTTTTTCAAATTATAAGGTACCTAAGATTTTTATTGAGTAATCAAATGAATCCTAATAATGTCATAGGATATGGATGGGGTGTTGGTCAAAATGTTGCTCCTGGTTCACGATGGGAACAACCGCAAATCGGATTTTGCTTCGATTCACCAAATCCTCAAGTCCCTGCAGTTCCTCCACCTTCCATTCAGAACCCCGGGGCTCTCGGCTTCGCTTATGATCAAACTATAGCAAATCCACCCTCAGTGTACCCAATATTTGATAGTTCACAACCAAATTTATTCCCTGATAGAACTAATAATAATGCACCGCCAAGACCAAATGTTTCTCCATCGGCTACACCCACTCAACCAAGACCAGGCAGTTATTATTCGGATGAATCAGTTGCACCATCCGCTCCTCCTGAACCCATTCCTACTTGTCATAGTGAATCATCAAAAGTTATTACAATCACCAGACAAGACTCAAGTAAATCCGGTAGGTTTAGTTACTTTGGTCAATGTTACTATCCCTCAAACAAGCTCTAAGTGTGGCATGATACTACTTACACTTACACTTACTTCAAAAATCCCCTAAATCCCGAAAGTTGTGTCAATGCTATGGTGCTTTGAAATGGAATAATTTAACCGAAAAAAAGTGCATATACACAATCTATTAATATATATATATATATATATATATATATATATATATATATATGCATAGTGAGAGTACAGTTTCAATCTGATAAAGTATTTATTATATATATCATATAAAATTATTACATGACGCAAAATGTTATACTAATGATAACAGAATGGGAGAAATTATATTCAGAGAGTTTGTATGTATCTAGCATTGTGCGACTGAGTAGACGAAAATTTGAAGAAAAACACTCACGATAACTAATTTGTTAAGTGATTCCGGGGGGGGGGGGCTATCACGTGAGTAATTCCGATTTATTGTCGCGGAATTCGGTCGATATGACTCAAGAGCAAGGGAATGCTTTCATGCGGCTGCATGTTTATAATTTTCTTCGTGAAATTCTTACTCTCATACCTCCGTGGTGACACAATTTTTCATATGAAGGCGACGAGGAAAAAGTCACTCAGCTACAACGTAGGACTTCGTACGTTCGTACATCAGTTCAAGTTGCCATACCACATTAGCACAGAGAGATAGAATTTTCAATTAAAATCCCATAGCGTGATAGATGTAGTAGAAGTATTAGCGGTAATGAAGAAAATCAGGGTTCGAAGATATGATTTAAGAAGTATAATCCTGTAAATAAATGTGATGAGGAATTGAGAAGATTAGAATTTTAGAGAACACAAAGATTGTATGTACCCGCACCATTGCAAACGGTTTCGAGCCATATCATTCAAATCTCTAACCACTGGTTACTATTGTCTCCCCGACCCCATCCAGTTAGTCTATAGCTAGTAACATCGTTCAGTCCAGTTGTCAGTGACTTCATGGATTTGCGCAATTATTCGATTAGCCGCCCTTAGCTTTCTTCCAACCTATTCCAATACCAATTAACGTCGTTCATCGAGGCAGTCGGCGGTTGGAAATTCACAACACATGTCCCAACAACCTCAACTGATGCAGACTGACTACTCATTCAATTGGTTTGCTATCCTTACCTAGTACCCATTTCCTAACAACAGCATTGCTTACTCGGTGGTCCCAGGATATGCGGGCAAAGCTTCGAAGACACCGATGATCTAAAAGTAGCAAGCTACGAATATTCCCTACTCTTACTGGCCATGCTTCACACCTATATAGTAGGATGGAGTGAACTGACTCGCAGGGAAAATGTAGCTGTTTGTTTTTAATGCTATATTAATGGGCACAAAAGATTCACCCAGATCAATTAAAAATCCTAATTCAAAATCAGTGACGCACATATGTATGAAGTTGTAATCTTTTGGTAACTGGTGACTGGAACATCTGTTGACATTACTTCACAGTCTTGTGAATTAGACATTCAGGTTAAATGTTCGTAAATGATCTCCTAGATAATCAACGACTCTTTTGAGTGCTTGAAGAGTGTAACAACTGTCACACAATTAATAACGATTATCGACGATTAAAATGGAGATTATGAATTCTATTTACTCCTCTGCGTACTGATACTGCTGACAAATTATAAAAATTATGTTTATCTTACTATGAATGGGCTTTTTATGACCATCAAATCTCGAAACTCACCACCCCACATAGTAGTTCATGCCTTGTCATTCATCTTTTAAATTACACGAAATCTCATTTCTTTTTAAAATTTATTTTCAATATAAACGGTCTTAAGTTTTTGAATAGTTCAGACAGACAGATACAACACAGAACTTCGTACGTACGTACATCAGTTCAGGTTGCCATATCACGTCAGCACAGAGACGCAACTGTCAATTCAAATCGAAGAGTGATAGCAATAACAGAACTATTAGCAGTAATGGAGAAGATTAGGGCTCGAAGATATGATTCGAGAAGTATAATTCAGTAAGATAAATATAGAAGGAGAAAGGTATAGATTATGAGGAATGCAGAAGCTTAGAATTTCATAGAACACAAAGAGTGGATGCACATGCGCCATTACAAACGATTCTGAGCCATGTCGTTCAAGGTCTCTAACCATCGGTGACTATCGTCTCGCGGAAGTGATATAGAATACAATACATTTCTGTCAATTTCCAACCGTTACCAATATCATCTTATTTTAAATTATGTACATTTTCTTTGGTCATCACTTCTTTTTTCTCTGCTTATGTCAAGTGTCACCATCTGGACCAATAACAATTTAACCCTGGTGCGGCTGTGACTACGCAGAGTCTGTCCCCTCTCAAAACACTCTCATCAGGTTCACGTCTGTATAGCCTCTGCTAGGAAAGTCCTACTCACTGCCTTCTTGTGGTTGTGGTGCTATTTATAAAAGCGAGTTTCCGACGCTTACACTGAATTCACTCAGAGGGGGGTTAGAAAACCATGATTCCGAATCAGTGATGTATATAAACTTCAGGATCCTGAGGGAACAAACTGCATATGAACCTATTGTTTGACACCGGGTATCATGAGACTGCCCGATCGAAGCTGCTACCTTGATGTGGTGGTCGGGTTTGCCTATCGTGATGACCCAGCCGAGCTATATTGGCTGGAACTTATGTTCCTGCATCACTTAACGTCGTGTTTTTTTATCTAATAGATTAGGCTTGTAGGCCAAAGGTTCGGAGATTGATCCCATAAGAAAATCATATGCCTCAGTTCAGATACTCGGGCCAGTATCGTAACCGGCCAATACACTATTCCGATGATTTGTGTATTGTATCTTAATTTTGGTGCACTTTTGTATCAGTGTTCATGGGTTTTTTTCTAAATAGATACATGATAGAAGCACAACTTAACTTTCATATTCATGTATTAACTCATAAACCATATTTGTTGATAAAGTGCTTAGTATTACTATACTGTTTATCTGGCCAAATTAATTGTATATGTTAGATAAATTTGTAATTTTTAAGACTGACTATCCAAAAATCATTTTCAATCTTTTTTTAAAGATAGTTAAGTTGAAATGAAAACACTTGTAATATTAAATTTAGGAATTGACTTATGGTTTCTTTTTTTAAAAGACTTGGCTATGTTTAAAATTCGACGAATTTAAACAGACAGCTAACAATAATAATAGTCACGTGAATTAATCAAACATTGATTCCTTTAATATCAGACGGTACATAATTTTCTTTTGATATCAAATATATTTTTTTCAGTCATACAGTTATTTACAATGTAGAATTTGTAATGCACTATTCCGTGTCACAATTCGTATGAAAAGAGATGAAATTGTTAGGCCAAATCACAAATTGACGCAAATAGTATTAATAGTAATGAAGAAGATTAGGTAATGGAAGATAAGATGTTTTACGAATTCAATGACATAGTATTTGGGGAAGACCAAATGATGGGTAGACTTGCGCTAGTACAAACGATTTTGAGCCATCTCCTTTTTAAGTCTCTGACCCAACCAGACAGTCGGCACTCATATCTTTACTGATCCTGATTAAAAAAAAAGAAACTAGCATGGTGTAAAAAATAGTGTGTAAACGTGAAACCAGAATAACTGACATTGTCCGATTATACAAATCACAGTTTCATGTCAATCCATTTAACCGAATGTAAATAGTAGTGATGATTTGTGTTTATTTGTCACTTTCAAATTGCCAATTTACGCCGTTTATGGCGTAGGCTAGATATCCGTTCGCTAATCGAAGGACGAGTGTACTGTGCAGCAGTTTGCTCCGTTCTCCTATATGGATGGCCGTTAAGAGATATTCGTAGGTTACTGGTTTTCGATCATAGGTGTCTTCGAAGCATTGCTCGTATATCCTGGGACACTCGAGTGAGCAATGCTGTCGTTAGGAAACGAGTACTAGGTAAGGAGGATAGCAAATCAATAGATGAAGTGGTGAAGCTTCATCAGTTGAGGTGGTATGGACATGTGTTAGGAATGCCTAACCACCAATTGCCGCGACGAGCTATGTTTTGTAGTGTAGGAGTAGGTTGGAAGAAAGCTAGGGGCGGCCAAACCAAAACATGACAGAAATCCATGAAGTCACTGACAAGTGGAGTGAGTCATATTGGTGGATGTCGGTTACCTGGTTGGGGTCCGCGAGACGATAGTCACCAATGGTTAGAGACCTTGAATGACATGGGTCAAAACCATTTTCAATGGCGCTGGTGCATTCATTCTTTGTGTTCTCTCAAATCCTAATCTTCTGGATTCTTCAACACCTCTAGTTTTGACTTTCTAAACCTTTCTCACTGAACTATACTTTTTGAATGATATCTTCAAACCCTAGTCTTCTTCATTACCATTAATACCCCCTGCTATCTTTTTCACTATGGGATTTGATTTGACATTTGCGTCTCTGTGCTAATGTACATACGTACGTAGTTCTACGTTGCAACTGACTGACTTATTTGTCACTTCCAAATGTTATTGTTTTCACTGTAATAACAAGAATATTCTTTCTTTTCCCTTTCTTTGGTTGTTGTCGTTAATTATCACCTTTTTTTCTTTCACTTTTCTCTTTAATTTTCCAGAAGCAACATCTAAAATGCAGAACAATACTAGTCATCATCATCAAGATCGACGTGATAGTTATCAAAATTCCCTTAAAGATATGGCTGCCCTAATGACTGATGTCGAATTAACCGATGATGTAATCAATGGGATGCGTAAACGTTTCGATTTACACAACTAAATTTCATGGAACTCTTCTCCAGCCCATGTGATGTTGTTATAATAGTTTTGTCATTTTCCCTATTGTGTGAATAATGATGACTTGATAAAATTGTTATACGAAGTGTGTAAATTTTGTTTGTTTTTTTGTACAAGCGATTTTTGTTCATGAAAATCACTATGATCACTTGCACAACAATCAATCAATCAACTAATGTTTTGAACGAATGATTATGCTATTTCTCTTTTTGCCCTAAGCATTAATTCGCTTTGTTTATTTTATTGCTCACCGTGATTTCTGATTGTGTTTATCTTAGAAATTTATTGACAGACAAATCAAGTATTATGATTATTATTATTATTATTATGCAGTTACTACTGATTTGATGTTTTATACCTGATAATTTATCTTTCTGATTTCGCATTTGCTTCTGTGTTTTGTATTGATTTTCTGAAAAAGGATGGGAAGCTTATATATATATATATATATATATATATATATATATATATATATATATATATATATCGTTGAACTATTTCTGTTTTTGAATTTGTTCAACAAAATGTATTCACAGAATATTGTTGTTAGTGATTGAAAATCAGCATCTTATTAAACAATGTGATCAACATACAATCTTCTTTTTTCATTGATGATTTCAAATGTGTAAAAACACAAAACCTCCAAAACTCTGCCCGAAAATATCGTACAATGTGCTCACTAGTGACTAGCAGCTGCATGAGGAAATTCTCGGAGTTCTAGTTGAGAAGACGTGACTAATGGAGTTCAACCCTGTCGGGTGTAGGCAGTAACTACCAAGGACAAGTAATGGGTGAGGTTGCGCAAAAATCCGTAGATCAATCAGAGTTAGACACTAACACCGTTGGATGCCGGCCGGCCCAGTGGACCGATGGTTAGGCGTTTGCGCACAATACCGAAGGTCCCGGGTTCGAGTACTGCGAGGTGCAGGAGTCGTGGATACGTACTGCTTATGAGTCCCATACCAGGACTTGACGGCCGTCCAGTGCTTCCAGGTTTCTAGTGGTGGTCTAACAATGATTGATTGACGATTTCAAATGTGTAAAAACACAAAACTCTGCCCGAAAATCTTCTATTTGTTATTAATTCACTCCAGGTTCTATAAATTAATTCATCGAAAAAAATGGTCATGTTTAATGTTGAAATGACTAGTACTCATTGTTAAGTGGTATTCACTAATACGTTAAATGGAATTATGACGTCAGTGACCAGAATAAATTTGGGTCAAATAGGGTGAGAGAAATAATGCACTTACCAAGTTTGATCAAATGTTTATTGGTTAGTGCAATATAAATTCAATAAGAAATATTAAAGTGGTATGAGTACTGAGTAAGTTGATCATGTGTTCAAAAGATGACTAGTGATGTAAGACGAGTACTAACACAAATATATGTGAATCAATATTCAAGACAGTTACATTTGACTTATGAAGTACATTGGTTCATTCGCTAGTTGGGATAACTATTGGTTAATTGGTCCTGGCGTTGGCCACAGTAAGAGAACTGATTAGACGTATTTATTTTGCATACAGTTCCGGCTTTTGAATCTGACTAACTATTTCTACCGTTTGACGAATTTCGAGTCCAACGGATTCTTCGTTGTTGTTAATTTTCAACCTCATCTAATGCATGCTTATCTACTTGTATGTCATAATCAGTTTCCTCAATCGAGTAGCTCGCAAGCTTAGAAGCTTTAAGAGAGAGAGAGAGAGAGATAGAGTTCAGTCATAATGGGGAAATTTCCACACTGAAGTACATCATGATAAGAATATGAAAAAAAATTTGACCATGAATCAAGTTTCTGGTTTCAGGAGATTGAGCTCATAGCGTGAAAGGTATCAATGTGATTTATTATGTATAGAAGGTGTCTGGAGACCGACCTGTTTAAATGACATCTTCCACTTCATCGGACGGTTTTCGCGACTTTCAAGTATAGCAATTTATTGAAATCATGCATCGATCATTGTGAGACCACCATTAGAAACCTTGAAGCACTGGGCAGCCTAGTATGGGACTCTTCAGTAGTGCACAACCACGATGCCCGCTAGCGAAAATTGAACCTAGGACCTTCGGTTGTGCGTGAACGTTTAATGTCTGAATTCAATCAGTTTACGGTATTGCACCAACTCACTCATTGTCTTTGGTGGGTAACTGTCTCCACTGCTCACAACTTCTATTTATTTATATGTTGGAAATGAAGTGATAGAAACAAGAAAGCGAAGGTATTAATGATAATAAAGACAGAATATTAACAAATAGCTGATAATTAAGTCATCTTGGTTACACAAAATTCATGTTATTCTGCAAATCTAGTTGTTTCACTTTGTTCTACCAAAAATAAGATATTTTGTTATAAAACTATGTAGAATTGTTTCACTGTTTCCTCCTTCAATTTACCTACGATTTCTGTCATGAAAATTACAAAACCTCATCCGTTTATATGTATGAAATTAAGTGGATAAATACATTAATATCTTCTCAGTCATTGTAATATACCGATTATTATTGACGTTAATTATCAAAAGATTTTCGGTAATCATGGTGAAGTCTCGTTCTCTGAACTCGATATTTTGGTTGTGGAGCTTTCATTGCTCTTCTGCTGAACAACATCATCATCAGTACAAACTTCAAATAGAAGTGAAGTATTCAAAATTCTTTACGTATGACTCGTGGCTTGTTCTTTTAACATCGATCGTGATAAGTTAGTTGTTATTGACCTTAAACCTGTTGTTGTTTGCATGATTATTTTGACTGCATTCCTCTTTAATCTATTGCTTGTTCCTATATTAGTCTATGATTTTTCTGATTAGCTCATAAATTGGGTCAAGTCAAATATGGACATACATTCGATTGGAACAATATTGAAATACTGGATAGAGGGAGCTTAAAGAACACCAGAGAATTTCTAGAAACTTGGCACTCAGGTCATTCAGCAATCAACAAACACATCGATATTGGCCGACTTTATGAACTAATCAGAAAAATCATAGGTAAATATAGAGTGAAGAAATAGATCCAAGACGGATGCCAAGAACAACAACAGGTTTAAGGTCAATAACAACTAACTTATCACGATCGATGTTAACAGAACAAGTCATGAGTCATACGTGAAGAATGTTGAATACTTTACTTCTATCTGAAGTTGTTGTTCTTAAGAACAATAAAAACTCCCCGACCAAACCATTCAGCTTAGAGAACGAACCTTCATCATAATCACCCACCATTCTCTACCGTCTGAAAATAGAGATGAGATTAATAAAAGGTAACTGTAATTAAATCTTGTTTTTTATTTTCTAAAATAAATTAATTAACCACATATTTACAAGAATAAAGTAAATCCATTCTATGTTACACTGTAAATTAGAATTCGACTTTATCGGTTCCTAATGAAAGATACCAATTAGTACTATATTATATAAATAAATATGACAATGGATAATAATAGTAGTCATAATCTTGATCAGTTATTGTATAAAAAATAAATTCTAATGTTATTATTTATAAATAGTACTTTTAGATCATGTGATTTCTTGATGTGTCATCCATCACATAGTTTACAAAATAAATACAGTGTTTGTGATTGGCTAGCATTGTTGTACAGAATGCATCGGCTTTCATTGAATATATTCATTCAACTGGATTCACTGGTAGGTTAAATTTGGAAATTTCAAAATGATTCGTACAAATTTTTATTAGGTTTAACATATTTTTTTTTCATTACAGACTTTCAATTATTACCGACAAATGATATCGGATGCTGTTTTAGAGTTAATTGATTGCTACTACAAAACATTTATCTTTGTATTCTGATTGCTAATTTTTTTTATTGTTGTTGGAATGTTAACGATAAGATGAACGGCGGATAAAAATTGAAATTATCAAATTATTAATGTTCGGTTATTAATAATGAAAATATGAATTATTAACATGAATGACATCACTTCAATCTGATTGACCAACTTAATGTGACAACAAGTAAACAAGTTTCATCTCCTCGAGACAGATAACCAATGATATGGTGTGTGTATGAAAATTCAATGGAAACCTCTTCATAACAATTTATTAACTCTATTAAATTTGATAAAATAGACTAAAAAATAGTAATTTTCTGTAGTAATATACTTGTGGTGGTTCACGTCTATTCAGGAGGCGCCTTGTGTACTAACGGAGTATGCGGAGTAGGCGTGAGTGGGAAGAACTGGAAAACAGAAGAATAAAAGAAGGGGCGAGCTGACAACCTAGCAAATGTCTCAAAAATACACTTATACTTAACAAGCATAGCAAAACTAGGAGCGGATAGGGTGAGGATTTCAAATCGTTAACTTGAAAATTGCTTGATGATGTCCATTTACTCAGTAAAATTATTTAAAATTGTTCGAGATTCAGTTGAATCAGTGATGTTCTTCTGTTTTTCTTCAAAAAGCATAACACATTATCAGTTAAGAAAGACCACCAAACCTAATGAAGGATCATTACATTTTAGTAATCTGGGCCTCTTCTGTATGATACGACAAACAGTTGCTTTTAAGGAAATGATAGACTAAGTAGATACATTTGTAATAGTCAAATTTGCCTAATATCTCTAGTCAAATAAAGTATCTTATCAAACGTGCCAATAGAATTATATTCATTTATCAGTTAAAATTACAACTTAGTGAACAACTCGATTCAAACTAATTTGTACAACAACAACAACGCAAAATACTTCGTATTCGTTGGCCAGACACCATCAGCAACAACGAACTGTGGGAGAGAACAAACCAGATTTCAGCGGAGGTAGAAATCAGGAAGAAGCAGTGGAAGTAGATAGGGCAAACACTGCGAAAAGCACCCAACTACGTCACAATACAAGGTATCTGTTGGAACCCTCAAGGTAAAAGGAAAAGAGGAAGGCCAAGAAAAACATTACACCGAGAAATAGAAAAAGACATGAGAGGAATGAACAAACATTGGACAGAAGTGGAGACGAAAGCCCAGGACAGAGTTGGTTGGAGAAAACTGGTGGGCGGCCTATGCTCCATTGGGGGTAACAGGCGTAAGTAAGTAAAGTAAGTTCTCAATGCAATTCACTTTCGAAATAAGAACTGTAACTACTAATGTCGATCTACGTAAATGATATTCATACAGTGGTGATAACCTGGTCGATGCTTTTTCTCCTAAAGTTAAGATAACCAAATTCAAACTACCATGCATATATATATATATATATATATATATATATATATATATATATATATATACTCTTAGTTTTAACTAATAAATAAATATAATTTTATTGGCACGTTTTATGGGAAAAGGTATTTGATGAGAGATATCAATCAAATTTGATTATTACAAATGTATCTGCTTAGTCTATCATTTCCTTGAATGTAACTTTAAAATACAGTCAATTTGGATTTTTTCCGTCGTATCATACTAAAATGTAATGATCCTTCACTATGTTTGGTGGTTTTTTCTT